GAGTCCTCCTTTTCTTTCCTTTGGGGGTTTCTTTGTCTACCCATGTTTGATCTCACCGACATATCTCGATGTTGAGTCGTTCAGGGGCTGCTCCTTGGGTGGCAGTGGCTCCTCGGGCTGCGGTTGCTCTTCGGGCAGTTGTGGTAGCAACTCCTCTGGTGGGTGCTGTTCAGTTGTGGTGGCTCCTCTGGCTGGTGGGGGGAGGCCTCACACACAGCGGCTATTCCTCAGACAGAGGGTGTGGTCACCATGTGCATTTCTAACAAGCTTTTTGCTGATGCTGATGCCGCTGCCGTCCTTGCCTGGCAGCTGAGATGCCTTCCCCTCCCCCACGGCCCATGCACTCGCCCTCCTTCAACACAGCCCTGGCCCTTCCCCGGCACCCGCTGCACTTGAGCCTCTGCCCAGTCCGGTGCGGCCATGAATTCCCTGCTGCCAAGTCTGACCCTGGGCAGATCCCGGGACCTCCCAACTCAGGGTAAAGGTGAACGGCTGTGCTGCTTTTTACAGGGAATGCCTTGCTGGGATTCAAACCGTAACTGGACCGCCTCTGTCTAAAGAACTAAAGAAGCAGTTCTCAACCTGTGGGTCGCGACCCCTTTGGCAGTCAAACGACCCTTTCACAGGGGTCGCCTAAGACCATCCTGCATATCAGATATTTACATGACGATTCATAACAGTAGCAACATTACAGTTATGAAGTAGCAACGAAAATAATTTTATGGTTGAGTCACAACATGAGGAACTGTATTTAAAGGGCCAGAGGTTGAGAACCACTGTTCTAAAGGGTCATGGGGGAGCTTGATGAAAATGCAGGTGTCCGAGTGCACCCTCAGACACAGACCTCCCCGGGAAACACACACACGGCTGTGGTCGCCCTTCTACATACAGACGACCAGAGGGACATGGCTTGTCCCGGGGCACCCAGCACGTAGCGCAGTGGCTGAGCGAGAACCCAGGTCCCCTTGGGCACACTGTGCCTCTCACTGTGCCACGCTGCCTTTTCTGAACTTGAAGGGGCCCTCCTCCCTTCCTGCCCCTTTCTCACCCCTCCCCCACTTTCTTGGGGCACCAGCTGGGCCCTGGCATTTCCAGCCGATGCTGAAATGGAGCCCCAGGGAACGATACAACTTACAAAACTGAGAAAAATGGAGAAAAGGGCAAGGGCACGAGGGAGAGAGGAGAACCTCTTGTGGGGAGTACGGGAGGGGAGGAGGGAATGGGGAGCCAGGCCAAGGTGTCCAGGAAGCTGGGGAGCTGGGGGCGGGGCCACCAGCCTGACTCTGACCCGGGAGGGCTCAGGGGGCCGGCCTGGAAACCACAACCTCCCTGGCCCCCAGGAGCCAGCCTCTGCCCCTTCACCCCGCTTTGCTCTGTGACAGCTGGCCCGGTGCTGCAGGCCCAGAGGGGCAGCCGGTCAGTTGATTGGTGAGTTAGTGTGAGTTTCCTACCCGGACAGCCCAGTCCAGCTGGTGGGGCTAGGGCGTGGGTGTGGCACCAGGAGTGGGTGGACCATGCCCTCCCAGGCCAGCTCCCAGCAGCATTAGGACCAGCAGCTGGACACGCTGCCCCAGGGCTTAGGATCCCAGCTGGGACGGTGAGTCAGCCAGCGGGCCGGGCTCCCTGGAATCGGGACCAGCACCTCCCGTTGGGGGCGCCCACCACCCATGTCACCGGCAGAAAAACTGGACCCGCTTCCTGACACCTTCATCCTGCAGCCGCCTGTCTTCCACCCGGTGAGCAGCCGCCTCCCATCCGGCTGGGCCCGCCTCCAGGTGGTGGGCGGGAGGGACGCAGCCCTGGCCCCAGCCCCTGCGGCTTCCCTCGCACCTGCCCTCCAGCTCCAGAAGGTCCTCCTGAGCTGAGCACAGTGCCGGCCAGCTGTTCCCACTTGGGTGTGAGTGACTGTTGAGCTTGCATTTAAAAAGCAGTAGAGCTGTGAGTAGGAGCATCTGCAGGAGTGGGTGACCAGGAGGGCCTGGGGAGTGGGTAGTATCATTGGGGGACATTGGGGGGACCCTGAGCACCTGGCAGGGGGCTTCCTGGCTGCCTCCTCCCGCTGTGACCCTGAGGATTTGCGGGAGCCTGGCTGTGCTTTGTGGAAGGCTGAGCCCGCAGGCGACGGCACCCTCCACTGGGGGGCAGCACCGAGCCCTTGCTCTTCACGTGGCCTCTTCTCTCACAAAAGCTGCTGCAGCTGTTACTCACAGGCCAAGCCTGGAGCCTGGGGAGTGGGAGGGACGTGGAGCTCAGCCCAGCCGAGCTGTGGGTGCTCTGGCCTCTGGACCCCCCGCATCTCTCCAGGAGCTAGTAACGGGGAAGCCGCTGCCCCCCCCCCCCCCCCCCCACAGCCCCTCTTTGCTTTCTAGGCTGCAGCTCCCACCTGGGGGGCAGAGCCGTGGGGTCTGGGCTCCGTCTGGGTCAGCGGCCGCCAACCAGTGGTCCGTGAGGTCCGGAAGGCTGGCGACCGCTGGTCCAGGTGGTTGGGGCTCCTGGAGGCTGCTGGGGGTGGGGAAACCGCGCGAAGGCTGGTCCTGTGACCCTGCCCGCTGTGTACCTGCTGCAGACACCTGTTCAGAGCCCACACGCTGTGCCAGGCCGGGCACTGCGCCTACAGACGGGAGAGGCGGGGCTGCGGCTTTGAGGGCCTTGTGCCTCCCATGGCCAGCCAGCCACACGTCGCTGTGAGCCAGCCGGCAAGGGCCACGCTCGCCAAACCAGCCTAGCGTTCTGGAGCGTGGGGAGGGGAGAAACAATCCAGACACTAAAGGGTTGGTGCTGGAGAAGGAGCCAGAGAAGCTGTCAGAGAAGATGTCAGGAGCCTTGAAGGTCAAGGTCCCGGGGCGCAGGGAGAGGGAGGAGACAGCCCGGAGAAGGCAGGGAGCTGTGAAGAGTGCGTGTGTTGTATGGCTGCCAGGCAGCTTCGAGGCCATTGTCAGGTACCTGTCCAGGCGTCCAGATCAGGGGCCATGCTCAGGTCCCCACCTGTCCATCCTCCTGCCTCCCAGGTCCCAGGCTCTGGCCAGGGAACAGCCCTCAGGGAGCCTCACTGCCGATTCCTGGAGGCCAGGGTGCAAGCAGTGGGCAGCAGGCCTCCCTGGGGCACTGCTGCGGCCTAGGCGCTGGGGGAGGGGCTGGGCCTATGCTGGGGGCGTGGATGGGGCAGAGGAGCTGAATTTGGCTTCCCCGGGGCAGTGTGGCTTCGACAGGTGGAGGTCCAGGAAAGGGGAGTGGGTAGAAGACCACATTCCAGAGAAAACTAATTGCCCCAGCTGCTTGGGGCAGGAGACCCGAATTTTCTCGTTCTTCTCCCTTCCCCACCCGTGGGATATGGGGTCCCTCGGCCTCTTCTCCAGCCACGTCAGGGCGGGTTTCTCCCCTTGTCCAGGTGGTTCCTTATGTCACAACCATTTTCGGCGGCTTACGCGCCGGCAAGATGGTCATGCTGCAGGGCGTGGTTCCGCTAGAGGCACGCAGGTAGGGGTGCCTCCCGGGGTGCGGGCTCAGCCCCGGAGGATGAAGGAGGGCAGGGGGGCTCTTCTCTGCCTTCGGGGCCTCCGGGGCCTCTGAGCGGAGTGCCCTTTGGAGCCTCGCCGCCCACAGGTTCCAAGTGGACTTCCAGTGCGGCTGCAGCCTGCACCCCCCGCCCGACATCGCCATCCACTTCAACCCTCGCTTCCACACCACCCAGCCGCACGCCATCTGCAACACCCTGCAGGCCGGGCGCTGGCAGGCCGAGGCCCGGTGGCCCCGCCTGGCCCTGCGCAGGGGAGGCAGCTTCCGCCTCCTCTTCCTCTTTGGACACGAGGACATGAAGGTGAGTGCGCGGGCACCGGGCCCTAGAGCGGGCGTCCTTCCGCCCGTCCTTCCTCTGCGGAGTCCCCCACGGCACTGCGTTCAAGGGGATGGGGGAGGGGAGGTACCCAGAGGACCAAGGAGCTGCCAAGCCCGGCTCCAAGCTGCCCGGGGCCCGGGGCCTGATGCGAGCTGCGCTGAGGCGGCCCCGCACCTGCAGGTGAGCGTGAACGGCCGGCACTTCCTCCACTACCGCTACCGGCTCCCGCTGTCCCGCGTGGACACCCTGGGCATATTCGGGGACATCCTGGTGAAGGCTGTTGGATTCCTGAACATCAACGTGAGTTCCTGTGGGGCCAGGGCGGGCGTGGCAGTGGCCTCTGACCTCCTCTGACATGTAGGCAGGCCTGGGACCCCCGCCCGCCCCAGACAAGCCCTGTTGCAGCAGCTGTGACCAAGGTGGAGGGGTTCGTGGAGGTGCCGGGCATGAGTGGGGTGAGGGCAGGAGAAGGTGACGACAGGAGGGGCCCGGGAGCCGGGGACGGAAGTCTGCACTGGGCGTGGGGTCTGGTCAACTCGGGGAGCGGTGGCCAGGAGGCGACTCACTTGGAGCCGTGGTGCCGAGGGGCCCCGACAGCGGCTGGCGGTGTCACTCCCCTCTCCCCCCCGAGGGGCGGATTAAAAGGCAGGTTTCTGGGGGTCGAGGCCAGAGATTCCGATTCCCAGTCTGAGATGGAGCCTGGGAACCCGCGAGGCCAGCTCCGAGCACCACTGCCCAGGCCTGTGGGCAGCGCCCAAGGCCCCCATCCGGGCCCAGCATCCGGCCAGGCAGGCAGGGCAAACAGTTGGCCCTGGGGAGGGCAGCAGCCCTGAATCCGGGGGTCGCCTTTTCTCTCTCCCAACAGCCGTTCCCAGAGGGCGGCAGCGAGTATCCAGTTGGACACGTGAGTCTCTTGGGAGCAAGGTGGGCCCTTGTCCCAGACACAGGAGCTGAGCCCCCGTTCTCCCTCCCCTGGCGTGACCCGCCCCTCACCTGCTGGGCTGTGGTCCCCTGGCACAGGCCCAGCTGCCCCTCCCTCGCTGCATGGTTGCCATGGATACGACTAGCTCTGCCTTGGTCCCTGGAGAGCCTGGCCTGGCCTGGCCTGGCTCCTCACCTGGGCCAGCTTGGGAGGAGGATGGGGGAGGGGTGCCCTGAACCAGCAGGCCCCCCATTCATAGCAGAAGGTCCCTGTAGATGGGAGCTTCCGATTCCCACAGCCCACAAGGGAGGCGGCTGGGCTGGGCTGGCCTGCGGGTGGTGAGGAGGCGCAGGTATTGCCAAGGCCGCCTGGTGAGTGAGGGACAGACCCTCTGCCCCGTTTCCAGAGCTGGCGTCCGTCTGAATTCATGAGGGTCCCACCGGGGCCCCACTCACTCACCTGTACTGTCTCTGAGACAAACCCCACTGACCCCCCGTTTTTCACAATAATGTCCAGAGTCCCCCTCTCACTGAGCGAACCCCGCCTGACCTCCGTCCCTCTTCTTTCCTTGGCAGCCCTTCCTGCTGGGGAGCCCCAGGCTGGTGAGTGAGCACCCCCAGCCCTCACCTGCCCTCAGGGGTAGGAGGCCCCCACCTGGCGGGAAATTCC